CATTATTATTTCAAAGGGACGTTAAGTTAAATCATTTGCATTTGACCAGCAGTTTGATATGTCTTCAAACACTGCCGAGTTTGTCCAGTTTACTTTGAAGACTCCCGTTGTTTTCATGTTGAACCCATTAACTTATGAGCAGCAAGTAGAAAGTGCAATCACAACAGCAGAGACAACAAAGATAGACACCAGTTGCATCATGTGACGCAATGTCAAGTTATCAGGATTTAGCTGCCAGATCTTTAAGGTGGATACAGAGTTCACAAAACGCTAGGCGTGATTTTCACGCCAGGCGTAATGAAAGTCGGTTCCTGATTGGCTGTGTGAAGCTTACGAAGCCTGATAAATCACGCTTGCGTTTCGTGAACTCTGTATCCACACTTATGGTAAGTGTTCTAACTTTAAAGTCTCTATTGATTTTTTTCCACAGTATTTATTGTTGCCTGGATGTTGTAGGAATTTCTTCACCAGGACATTAATTGCTGTGTTCAGCAAGCAGGTTTAGAGGCTACTGCTCTTGAACGCTGTGATCTACATGATGACAAGTCTGTTATTCTTCAGGTAAGGATGTAACCTTATTAGAATACTTGAATTTATTAACATTCTTATTTCAGAGGGATGTTCAGTTAAATAATTTGTATTTGATCGACAGTTTGATTTGTCTTCAAAAGCTGCCAAGTTTGTGAAGTTTACTTTGAAGACTCCTGTTGTTTACATGTTCAAGTGGAAAGTGGAATACGCAGTTCCAGAGACAAAGGATCACCTCATCATAGCTTTGTCTAGCAAAGTCATGGTGCAAGGACTTCCTACTCCGCTCGTCAAGAAGTGCACTGTTCGGAATTTTTCTCTAACCGCCTGAAACGGTGCCTGTGTCCTGTAGGGTAAGGTGCCGTATGATGGCCATATTATATCACTCTCGTTTCTGTTCCTATGAAGTAAAAGACACTTTTGTGTTCATCCGCCATTCACAGGTTGAGTTTGCATTATATTTGCCTCTTTGGCAGAGAGAACTAGTCATAAATGGGGAGGTCTGTGATGTTGTGGCCCTGCGATGCTCTTGGTAGATTTTTAGATATCATATGGGTGCCATGCAATAAAAGCATTTCTTCTCTTTGTTAAATGTTATTGCTGTTACTGTCTTTTGTAAAAATTGTTACTTGTTCTTTAGAACTGAATGTTCTGATTTGTACCTGACAAACCAGTCATAAATCCCGGCTGGTAAAATTAAAATGACATTCGAATCAAATATTTATTTTAATTTACTAAAACTTAAGTTACCCCCACATTAAACCTACTCTAAGGCGACCCGAGGGACCGTTCTAGCAGCCCTCGCAGAAGGAGGGTGCTTTGGGCGGGCCGCCGACTTTACCTAGCTGTTTGGCGGGTTGGCCTACCCAGCGCTTCGCAGGCGCTATCAGTATCTCAGCTCGGGAACAGCTCGCGCGTTGTCAATATTTCAAGGATCAGAAGGACGTGCTCCCACACGGAAAAAAGGGTTGGTCGTTAGGCCATTCCACCAAAAAAAAGTTTCGACGTCGGCACCTCAAATGAAAGATTGGATGTAGTAGAGACCCTGTGCAAAGTTTGGGCTCTGTGCGATAACGTTTACCCGACGCGCATCGCGATTTTCAGAGCGGGCTCGAAATTGGCGCGCAGCGGCCCGCCATCTTATTGGCTCTGCCGTGCTGACACGGTGGGGTCAGAAGAGACGTCTCGGGTTTAAAGTGTGACCATGGGTCCTACTTCACATCCGACAGGGTGAATCCAAGCTCGCGATTGACCGGGTGTCTCCAGGGGCTCAAACGTAGCAGTCCGCGCGGCTCGCTCCTGGCAGCCGAAATTGGCAAAATCAAACATATTGTTTTTGCCAATACGTACGCCGTACCGTGCCCTATCCAAAACTATGCAGCGTGCCAGGTAGCGGTGACGCGATCACTGGAAAAAGTTTTAAAAACAGGTATTTGCGCCGATTGTTGAAAACCATTTGTTATTCATTTGCAAAGATACGCTTATATTTCTGTTACCTCGCGGTGAGGCCTTCGGTCGCCTCCATTGCTGGGTGTCCCAAATGACGTCTATATGGTACTCTGAAAAGAGTCATTCGAAAATTCGCCATCAGGCGATTGATAAGACTTGCCGAGTTTTGATGTCTGCTGAGCCTCAGTGGATCGCAGAATCTTGATCTCTAACTTCAATAATTAACTCTAGCCAAAAAACCGACAAAACAAATGGTGCCTGTTTATTCGATAGGTCCTGACTCACAGTACCTCCAATCTCAACAGATTTTTCATACTCAAACAAGTGTGCAAGAAATAGACGAAAAGCAGCCAATTTTGAACGAAATTAGAACTCATGACTGTACGGCGACGTGTTGAGAGAATGCTTTAGTTATTACGTTTTACTTACTTAGTAAAGCAAATGTACGTGGCAGTCCTAGCCTGAACACTTCCCTAGCCGTTTTCGGCAATCTGTATAAGCAAGCAGCTCGCCTGTTGGCGAGTGAACGAATATGTAGACCTGAAGGGTCAATCACACATATGTATCGACTTGGAATTCACCGACGAGCAAGTTTGGCGTGTCATAAATTTACAACGTATATTGTAAACATTAATTACAAAATAAATCGTAATTTTTCGACGATGTGTTACAAGTTATTTTTATCACAGTGTTAGACGCGTTGATGAATTTTCACTACTTGGGGGCCTGACAGCCATCGATGGTGGTGGCGCTGGTCACAGTGGTCATGCTAGCCATACTGGCTCTCTGCTCAGCCAGCATCTTGGCGCCCATGCCCGTGTTTGGTATAGGCGTGAAGGAAGGACGAGGTTTAAACACCGACAGAAAGGCTGCGACTGAACAAAACATAGATTAACAAACAATTTACTGTCAGAAGAACCGTACTTAAATCGACACGCGAGAATGAAAACCGCTCACGTCTAGTGACCGTTTAGAAAACCGCTCACCTCTACAGACCTTTTTTCACACAATTTGAGATATTGGTATCATAAGAATCAGCGTCTTTCAGAGGTCTTTTGGATACCAATATCACAGAATGTGTAAAAAAAGTCATTTAAGCGGTTTTCCGAACGGTCTGCAGAGGTAAGTAGTTTTCTAAAAGGTCGCTAGAGGTAAGCGATTTTTATTGTCACGTGTCGAAATTTGGTTTGGTTGGTATCCGGTTAAGGGGTTTTAGACTTTGCGTCTAGCTACGAGCGACGGTGAATCGCACACGCATATTAGGAAAGAGTGAAAGTATGGGATCAAAAAAGTAAACCCGGAAAAAAAATACTTCAAGATATCTTAATACTAGGTGCAAGGTCGATTTGACCCTAATGGTGACTCTTAGACTTCCCGGGAGAGCTCAAAGTAGGGTCTATAAAGCCAAAACGACCCTTTTTGACCTATAGGGCTCTAACTGGGCATGACCCAGGAGACGGCTATCTCCCATCGAAATTTGTATTGATAGAAGAACAAATGGTTAGTGTTCGTTATCTTTTTATGAACGATTTCTTACTTACTCACACACGCAACATTCCCAAATGTGTTACTGGAGTAAAACTAAAAGATCCTTTGAGTGATCCTTGGTCAAACCTTGTCTCTCCTTTAGTAGAAGCATCTTTGGTACAGCTGTAAATTCCAAACAGCAAGCAGGCACAGTAGCGAGGATAACCTCTTTATCACTATCAGTTTCAAGATTGTCTTTCACTATTTGTCCAGCGGAGTTTATCCATATATCATGTCTTTGTCGCCTCAAAATTGAGTCGAGACTACGACGTCTTCCCTGAAGTAGGCTTCTCATGATCTAAATCACACTGACTTAATCATTTTGAATTTTAATGCCTCACATCAGATTTAATGTTAGGGGCAGGCAAGTCGAAACAAACAAAACACTAAGAGTGAGTCCGAATACTCCAATGTGTCGACACTTCTCGAAGTTGTGTCGAGGAGTGGAGCGGAGTAGTGTCAAGTGAGCCGTGATTGGTCGGATTGGCTGCTCACGCTACTCCGCTCCACTCCTCGACACAACTTGTGTCGTCGACAGATTGGAAAGTTCGGTCACACTCTAACGCCTTGTCACAATTGTGATATTTTTGTTTTTACCCCACGTCTGTAGAGACACTACGATATCCTTATACGCAGAGCACGTGCGGATAAGCCAGCCAGCACACCGGAGCAGTGGTGTTGATTATCATTTACCAACTCGTGTGCTCGGGTGTACCAAACAAAAGAAAACTATGTGTCGGACAAGTAGGCCTACACCCTCCGTGAGTTGATGCAAGAACGATATAAAAAGAATAATCCGTTGGACAAAGCGTGCAAACCAAACTTAAAGATAGTGTGTGGAGGTTAGCCTATATAACGGCTGTAGGGATGCAATGGAAAAACAAAGGCACAAATTACACATTTCCTGGGGCACTGAAGTCAAGGGTTCAGTTTAGTGCCTTTCCAAAGGCACTCAACTTGTATGGAACTTATATGAAGCTAGCCAGCTTAAGGTGTAAAAGGCCACATTTAGTGCCTTTAGTACACTAAACTTTAGTGCCTTTAGTACACTAAACTTTAGTGCGCTTTGAAAGGCACTAAACTTTAGTGCGCTTTGAAAGGCACTAAACTTTGTTAGTGCCTTTGAAAGGTAGTGATTCGCACCTGTGATTTTCCAGTGTGATCAGGAGTCAAGGTAAGAATAAGGTTTTCTCGATGAATTATTTAATAGAATGCAGGTGCTCATAAGAATCATATGCATTGCTATAAATTAAACCACTTAGCCCCTATACTGGGACTTCACCATCAGATTATGGTTCACCATTCCACGCTATTTCATAGTAACATTACAAATAACTGTCTGATAAGGTTATTGATAAACTCATACCGATTCTTTTTGTGGGCAATAGAGGTAATACGTAGATGGTTAAAAATTTACAGTTTATGAATTTTAACGAGGTCCCGTTAACTGACTACTCATTGAAATATTGACGTTGCGAATCATTCAGAAGTTTTCGAATCATTTGTTTGTGCAATGTCATGAATCATTTGTGAAATTACTGTTTTACGAATAACTCAAAGAATTTGCCCGGAGTAAATTCGTAATGTTACGGCCAAAAAATTAACTGTGGACTCGGACGGGGAAAAATCCTAGCACCTTTTTGCAAGTGGTGGATGGTCTAGTGAATCACTGCGGAAGTAGATCCGTATATGAGCCCTCAGTCCAGCTTGACCACTAAAATCCGCTGTCAGCTGTCAGCCTGTCCCTGTCACATGCAGGCAGGGGCATGAATTCCGCATACTACGACATTCAAGATTGGCAAAATATTTTCAAATCGATGGAGTGATTCTTTCGTGCTCCTATGTTTGCCTGCGAGCTATGCAGCCTTAATGCATGTTCTTTAATGCTCGTGCCTACTAGGCACAAGAATTACACCTTTTCGGCGTGTTTTATTTTATTTCACGCCCAAACCTGATGAGTGTTAGTAGCATGCTATACGCGGCGATCAAAAGGGCATAAGGGGCCGTTCACAAATTACGTCACGCATCTGCCGGGGGGGAGGGGGTCTCTGCCCGCGTGACGGTCCTATCCTGAAAGCATTAGATGGTTAGGTTAGCCGCGTGACGTGGGGGAGGGGGGGGAGTCAAAACCGCCTGAAATTTGCGTGACGTAATTTGTGAACGGCCCCTAACCTGCCAAACAATCTTGAATGCCGTTTTCGCGGCATTAGGGCCTGGACAATCAGTGGCAGAGCAGAGTCCCGGGTGAGGCGCGATACCAGCGAAAACAGCGTGTTTGGGGGAAGCTTATGTGAAAAAAGTATACATTTCCAATAAAAATCATCACGAAGAAATTCGGAAAGCTGATAAATTTTTTCGTGTAGTATGCCTACAACTTCACGAGTGCGCGAAGAAAATTTGATAGAAAAATATAGTTTTTCGACCTGACATAACCATACTCTAGAAGACGCAACTTGTTCGTTGATTTGACCACGACAAACATTACCTTTCGGGCCAAGTATATAGCCTACTACACGACAAATTTTATTAGCTTTCCGAATCTCTTCTTGCTTTCCATCAGAGATGCATACCTTTTTGACATAAGTTTCTCCCGTTGCGGTATCGCGACTCTCCCGGGACATTACCATTGCGTTTCCAGACCCTGGCGACATTTATGTCCCTGCATGTGACGGGGACAGGCCAACAGCGGATTTTAATGGTCGACCTCTGGAAGTATGCCTCATATGGACTTACCTCGGCAGTGAGTCACTCCTGTCGGCACCGCGCGGTGCGTGTGGCAAGCGCTCTAACATGACGCCTCGCACAGGGGTGCCCAAAAAGGGCGTTTTCGAACAGACCCAGCTCACCGGCCTCATCACTGGCGCTTTGTCGCAGAGAGTTAGGTCTAAACCAAGGGTTACTTCTCGACAAAAATCTGTCGTTTTAGACCCGAACCCCGACAACTTTTTACTTAAGCCTTCAATTGGGAATATGGGCTTAGTGCGCTCATGTCGAGAAGTGGGAGTAGGTAAAAGTCGGCAAGAGGACAGGAGGAGCTTGAGGACAAGTGCAGCGCCCATCGCCCCTCCTTGTCTCTCCTTTCCTCCTCGTCTTTGTCGTCGTCGTCATCCTCCGCCCCCCCCCTCCCCCTCCTACCACCTCCGTAATAGAAGTAGTCCGTTTTGTCTACAGTGTTTGCCCATGTAGCGCCTCACCGTCACGGTCCGGACCAAGAACCCGTCCGCGCGTCCACTCTTCTACCGTGCGTTACAGTCTACATCAACTAGATCAATATATAATACAGATACAGATAGGCTTACTTACAGGCCAGCAGCCCCGCTCCGGTCCAGAAGGCTAGAGAGCAGTTGAAGGCCAACAGCAGAGGGAATGCAATATTGCCCACCATAGAGCCAGCCCGGCCAGAAAAGTTTGCCAAACTAACTGCGGATGACCTGGTCGAAAGGAAACAAAACCGTCAATAGCAACTGGCCTTGTCGATTTCGTTAAAAAAAATGCAGTTTCAAAGATTTCATTTTGAAGAGACAGTCTATTTGTTTTAGAGGAAATCTCTCCGCAGTCTAAACGGTGAAATGTAGTGACACGTTTGAAAAAAGCTGGAGCCACCCCGAAAGCACTGGTGCTTAGTAGGGTGATTCTCAGCAAACGGGCCATTTGGGAGTTATATTTTATTTGTCATTTTTTTTAGGATTTTTGGTCGAAATGGCTAAATAAATGTAACGTCGGGGCTCACAAGCGGTCGGCAAGCGCTACCGGTCACAAGCGCTACTGTAAAAAAAATCCAGGGTAATTTTGTTTACCCATGTGTGGATAAATTTCTCCCTCTGGTATGTAATTCAGATTTACCCACCCACCTGGTAGGTTAAACGTTATTTACCTCGATGGGGTGTAAATTTCTTATAGTGTGGTGAGAAAAAATTACTACTTGGGTGGTGAATTACCCCTTACACCCACACAGGTGTATTTTAACCAGGTAAATAAATTTCACCTTGCTGGAGGGGATGTTCCTTTACTACATCCACAGGGGTAAAACACCACCAGCACTAGGTGTATAAGGATCTAGGCCCATTCACCCACGTGCAAGTGACCCAAAGAAATCTTGCCCAGACGCAATATGCCCACAAGTATTTCACCCATATCACTTTCACCCTCTATTATTTTGGCCCAAGGAGAGTTCACCCAAAGTACTCTTTATTGCACAGTTTCACAGTTTCACAGAGAAACGTTGGCTCCGCAACCTCGAACGTAGTCTAGTAGCCGATCCGTCGCCTTGAACTCTTGGTATCTTCTTGTGAGAGTTTGGAGTCGATCGTTTATTCTTGAGTATTTTGCCTTCTGATGTTGCCTAATTTTTCTCAAACCGTCAAGTTCTTCCATCATCACTTTGACGTCGGCTGCCTCCTTTTGGAATTCTCCAATTAATTTGTAGAGTAAGGGGTGGCTTTTCCCAACTATTGTCCGGTTTTCTCCGACAAACCCAGTACCGTCTTGTGCCACTTTTATTGTCTGAGTGAAAACTGTATTAATATCCAGAGTGCGACAAAATGTATCCGCCTCTTTCACTTGGAATTAATTTTGCGTCTTCCATCTTCGAAAAATTTTCCTGTACGGCGCCTCTACGGGAACCGTTTTGATTGTTGGGGTGAGAAGTGGAAATATCCCTTCTGCTCCTCATTTGCAATACTCCCTGTCGTTGGGTGAATTTTTGGGAGTGGGTGAGATGAAGGCAAGGGTATAATATGGGTGAATATACTTTGGATGAATAATAAGGGGTGAAAATTCAGTGGGCCTATGGGGTTTGGTCTAGTTGTCCCGTGGGTGAAGAGGGCTTGGGTGAATGGGCGGTATACCGGTGTATAAATAGCGTGTTTGTGGGTGGGAAAGTGTACTTTCGCACCCCACTGCCTGAAAATCTCCCCTTACAAAAATAATCAGTATACGCGGCGGGAATGAATTTTGCCACACATGGTCGGGGAACATCTACCCGTGCAACACACCGGCTGCAAATTTCCCACTAATTTGTGACTGCCATAGCATCGTGGGAGGAGAGGTGGGTTCGGACTACTACTACACCGCCGCAATGCCACCCAAAACCAATCACCTCCTTTCTTTGCCTTTGGCCCGCTTATCGACGCGAAGCCCGCGATAGACTGCCGCTAGATGGCGTTTCAGTCAGCGCGTCTCCTACATAGTGAGCTTTTTATATTAAATTAAAATTTCCCTGAGAAAATGACTTTTACTTTTACGCAGTAGTATGATTTTCAAGGAATCACTCTAACCAGCAACGATCGGTGTTGGCCGAAAAAGTCAACCATATACCAGAAATAATCTGTTAAACTCTAACGCTCCGGGGGTCCCCGCAGCAACACCTTGTTCCGTACGGCCCCGTCACCTTGTCGCAGGGAGGTGCACCCCCGCGCGTACCCCTTATGTGGCGGTGACTTCGCTGGTCGCTGCGATGGCCTGTTCTCTCCATGAGAACGATGTCCAAATTTTTGAAATTGATTGCGGTAACCGACTTAATTGGCAACAGTCCTGTCGGCCCGAAATCAACAAATAAAACTCGCTAAATCTTCACGAGGCGGAGAACGGATCACTTGTTTTCATTCACATACTGCTCGATACCTGGAAGGGAACATTTTCACCCTCCTGGGTGGGCTTTGTGGTTTTCAGCGCATATAGGATTGTTTTAGGAAGGGTATAGAATAGAATATCATTCTATCCTCGTGGTATGGATACCGCTTTTACCTACCCACAAGGACACCCCCTAAGGGAGAGAATTTCACCCACCCAGTGGTGGGTAAAATTTACACCCCCATGGGTATGTAAATTTAATTACCCTGGTGAGGTAAAGGATAAAGTGTAAAATTACCCTCGAAATTTTTTACAGTGCAACTTTTGACCGCTTTGCGCAGTGGGTTCCCCACCTCGGAAGTGGGCAAGCGATGGATTTTTACAAAGTTGGCCACATGCTCTTTCAAACGAAACACCGATACATCAGATCCGACATGAGGAACCCACTGCGCAAAGCTCCCAAAAGGTGACAATGAAACACTCTATTGTCTAACAAACAAGGGGTCTATCTCGCGTAGATCGCTCGATGCAGGGCTGGGGGGAAGGGGGGGGGGGCTGATAAGAGATAGGAGATGGGGCACCGGCACTACTGCCTTACCTGACGCTGGTCGGGAAAAGGTCCACGGTAATGTTCATCAGGGTGGTGAAAGCCACGTTAGCAAGGCCCTCGAAGAAGCAGGCAATCATTAGCACTACTGAAGATGAAGCGGCGAACGGCCATGCGATGAGAGTTGAGGTTGCAAGGGTCAGCGTAGACACTGTAGAAGGGAAGCAGATTAACTAACACACCGACGTGAATGACTACCCAGGGTAAAAAAACCATGATTGTCATGGTCAAATTGAGATTTTGACCATGGGAAGCCAAGATTTTAATCATGGACATTGCCTAGACCATGGTGATCACCTATGCCCATGCCCATCTCCCCAGCCATGATACTCTGCACTCGGTTGACCATGGACAACGACTCAACCATGCGCAAGTGGGATGTCCACACCATGGTCTACCTTGGCGTG